AATATATATCCACACATATACACGCAAACATCAGGGCCGCGCCCCTTTTTGGGGGATGGAAAACCAAAGATCCAATAGATGTCGATTCAATTTGACGTGTGTTTGGATCGTAACTCTGACAAGTTTGTATGCATTTATCTCATCTACCTGTAAAGAACAAACGTGTTAACCTGCACACAGCGAGTTTCTGTCCCCCAAAAGGGAGTGCAGCCTTGGCGATGATGCAATGCTGGTCTGGTCTAGAGCCCCTTTGTTTTAACTTTTTTAGGACATGGCAGGGGAACACATATTTGTTGATGCAGCCAACTACATAGCGACTCATCGGAAAAGTGTATTTAATTGAAGCGTTTTGTTTAAAGTCGAAGTTTGGAGACAATGTTTTCAACTTCCTGTGTTGCTGTCTACGAGAGACGTGGGACTGGTGATGAGAGTCTACCATGTGAGACGTATTGCCGGTCTGATGGCAGCGCACTGCTGCGGAAAGGACCAGAAGTAAGGAGACCAATACGTCGTAATGGTAACTTGGAGAGGTGTATGATGTGAAATAAAGGCATTTCAGTCAATCAATATCACCAGTGATGTTATTTTCACAGTCGATAAATCAAATTCATAACCAAGATGGACAGGATTGATTTCTGTGCCAGCGATCATCCATCCAATCTGCACCGTCTCAAACATCAGCTACACATTCACTGACACGATGCCTTTTTCAGCCATATTTAGACGCAAGAATTAAAGGTCCTGGGAGTTGGAAACAATTAAATTTCATCCAGATGTTGTCTACCTTGTGTTTTTGTAGTTCAAGTGTATCAGTCATCTTTCCATAAAGTGTCAACACTTTTTTTTCTTCTTCTGAAGTCAACAAGCCACATTCATTTTGAATTTATTTTACAAACACTTAGTTCCAGTACTGTATGGGACTAGCCTGCCGCTGTCCTTTCAGCACCACAGCTTTGCTCAGCCGTCTACACCAGATTGACTGCTAGCCGACATACGGTGAAGTGAAACAGGCCAAGCTGTCTTTTAATAAGACACTAGTGGCTTCATCTAACAGTGACCATCAGTGAGGGACGGAAGTTGAATTTAGGAAACACGTCCCACTAGATTTAGTTGCTCATCTAATGAACTACAGAGGACAACAAAAGTTGCTGTAGCCAGGATTTTAGACATATATATTTTATAATAACAATACTGTAAGAATAATCATTTCACTCTAACACACTCCAGAATATATTTAATTAATTAAATAAATAAATAAATATCTTTTGTCTAAACAATTAGCCTTCATCTCCCACTATGTGTCATTATCAAACAGAAACTGCTCCCCGTGTCATTAAAATAACCAGAAACAACACAGAAGACATGACCTCTGGGTCCTCAATGGTAGCGTTACTCAACAAAAGCCGGCTGCATATGAGGTGGCGCTTGATCTGAGGACGTCTCAGATGCATCCAATAATCTATATGCTGATGTTTAAGAATAAGACGTTTGCTTGTTGCTTGACCATCAATAAAACAGATGTGATGAGACACATCTGTTTCCACACGGGGTTGGGACATCACCCTGCTGACAAGCCCATTCATTGTCTGCAGTGTGTCAGATGGCTCGAACTGTCCTCTTTGCTGCTGAATGAGGAAGCCGTGTCGACAGACTCATAAAAATCAAAAGGTCTTTACTGGATTGTATTCAGGGCTATTGTGACAGTAAAGACGTGACACTCATTTACCCACAGTCATAATAACTCATAAGCTCATTTCCCATTAAATATTAGGGTGACCAGACGTTCCCGTGTTCCGGGGGACAGTCCCACATTTTGGTGGCTTGTTAAAAAAATGAAACTATATTTTTTAAGTAGCAAGAAAGACCAGGCAGCAGAGTCCACTGGTTGATGTCTGATAGTGTTGTCTCTCTGTTGGTGTGTCGGTCTGGAAGGGTTGCTTGTCTGTCTTTCTTTCTTGTACATATACAAATGTAAATACACTGTTTGAACAATAGTAGTTTGACCATTTTCTTTACCGTGTGTCCTGTAGTGGGTCATGGTACTGTAAACTGAAGATTAGTGTATTACAGTACAAACAGTAACCATGTTGAAGATTCACGAAACCGAAATTTTCCATATTTTTTATTACATAGATAATAACACTGGATATAACTGGAATCGTCTCAGAGTTGTCACTTCAGAATCCTGGTCACCCTGATAAACACACCCTCACAAAGGACGGACTAAAACGTCCAAAAGCTAACGGTATCGTAGCCCTAAGTGACATTAAGATAGAGGACAGCACAAACCACAGCATTTCTGTTCTTCACTTTAGTCCTGACAACTAGCATCCAGTTTAGGGGACAGTCTGACACAGGCACACTGTAAACATTGTAGCCCACACACAGAAACACGTTCCTCTCTCGCTGCTACATCTTTGACCAGAAAGCTTCGTATTAGCATTTAGCTAACATCTTGTGAATGACTAGCCGCCTTGAAACCCTTCAGAGACTTGGCATTGCTTTGTTTGTCTGCTCCGTTAAGTGGAGTAGCACCAGTGTTTTTAGCCCGTGTCGCAACAAGTCAGGGCCTCGTACTGTAATGTATCTTCCCCAATGACTCGCTGTAACAAAGCTAACACAGCAGCGGAGCGCTAACACTCTCCCGTTAGACCGGCGGATAAACATGCTTACTTAATTCGGGACCCCATCCTCGTTTCTCACACCGCCGTCGTTGTCGGCAGCGGCTCCCGGTGCACAGACGCGTCTGGTCCGGAGGTGTTTTTCAGAAACTAACCTGTCACACAGAGCTGTATAACGCCATGGTCTGTCTACGACACACGCGTAGATCACGCTCTGACTCGCGCTGAACTGTGGGGCTTGTAGTTGTATTGTAGAAGATCGGTAGGTCTATCATGCGGAGCAATCTCGTGCTAGAAGCAGCAGTTTCCACAATACGCGTCGTAGACGACGGTATAATGTGATAAGATATATTGGCCGCTTTGGTATATAATTAGTTATATATATATTATATAGTTATAGTTGCTTTATTTACTTGACTTGAAGCCTACAATAGTTGGCACAATACTAAAGGATATATGAAGCGTTCTTTCTTTAAAACATTTTTTTTTATTGTTAGGGTTAAAAAAAATAATAATAACTTGCGATGAATATTGATCGATTACAATTATTACATGAAATGCAGGCATAATAACAATTAGACTAATAATATACTACTCAAGGTTGAAACTTTATATTCTAGTATATAATATAGAGTCTGAACATGGAGGTCCTGGATGTGACTTTTATGTAAAGGAAGTGTTTCTTGCTGTTGTCTGATTTGTTTAGAATAATGACTAAGAAATGGGCTAATGCTAGCCAATGTGTAATATTTCATATTTCTGTAAATGTTCCAGATAATATGCATGGATGCTAAAAAACAGATATTATACTTACTGGTACTGTACATGCATAGATTCCTTTGGTGTTCAAAGTGGGGTCCGGGGCAAGTTGTCTCAGTGCTTTTCGGGGCATATCGTCACATGACAATATGGGTGAAGTGTATACAATGCAGCAAATCAGGCACATGGGGCTTGTACTGCAGGGTTCACCGTTTAATTGTGCAGAACTGTGACTCTGCCGAAAACTCAGATTAGGCTATGTAGCCTATTCAGCGACAGTATTTAAATTATGTTGAGCTAGTCAGTTTGCAACTCTTGTTGCATTTGGTTTTGAATTGGATCTGAAAACGTCATAGCTCAGGATGAATTATTAGTTTTTTTTATGTGTTATTCATTATTATTCATAAATTATAGTTTCAACTGTATGAATAAGTTTGGAAAGCCTCTATTTGTATGCATGTTCTTATTTGTTGAAAAATATAATGTGACAATTTACCCCGCATAGTGTGGTGATGGGGCAACTTGTCACAAATGCACATTCTGTACCTTACCAATTACAAATCTATATTAAAGTGAGAAGTAAACATCTAAAAATTATACTTTTGTGCAATAGAATTTATAATTTAATCTAATGTGGAAAATGAGTGACTGTGATGTACTGATACCAGGTGGCAACCTCCGTTTCTGCCGAGTGAAGCCAATGCGGAAGTGTCTTAAAACTTGCATTCTCTCTACTGACCAGCAGGGGGCGACTTCTCCAGATGCAAAATGAAGTCAGATTGTATAGAAGTCTATGAGAAAATGACTCTACTTCTCACTTGATTTATTACCTCAGTAAACATTGTAAACATAAGTTTATAGTCTCAAACTCTAGTTTCAAGTCTTCTTCAATACAGCATGATGTTCATTTAGTAAAGTATGGTCCATTTAGAGTCAAATAGACCATAAAGCAAGGTATGTGTTAGGGCGGGCTTACTGTGATTGACAGGTCGCTGCTGCTACCAGAGACGTATACCACGTCTATACAACACTCCTCCGTATTCCAAATATGGTAACTTCTGTTCACTGGTTGCAAAAGAGTAAAGATGGCGAAGGCCATAATCCAAGGTGGCGATGGCCAAATCGCCGAACTAGAGGCTTCATAGCGGCAGTCCACAAACCAATGGGTGACATCACGATGACTAGGTTCACTTCTTATATAGTCTATAACTGAGATCGAGAAATTTAAGTGAAAGCAAAAAGTGTGACAAGATGCCCTGCTCTCCCCTATATTAGGAAAGGGAGGGCTGGCTACTTGGGCTCATGACCTCTGCAAGTCTAAAGTCTTGGCTTCAGCTCTGACTTGAGTAAATACTTTCCACATAAATAGGCTAAAATCTAGATATGCCAAATACGGATTTGAGCTGGCAGTCTGAACAAGGCCAAAAATAGAAAGAATCGAAGAATTAGATGAGACTTTAATACTCATATGGCTACCTAATGCTTTTCTTATACTTGTCACGTGCGTAAATACACATATCATATACCGTCAAACAATGGCCCTATCCCACGTGCAAGGGGCCGAGTGAAGAGAGGGAGCTGTGACGTTTGACCTACTTTTCAACAAACACTTGCAACAACAACCTCGCCACCACTTTGGGTTATCTTTGCACAGCCATGGGTTATGTATCCCCCCTGTCTTATTCGGTAAACTTCTTAAGCAGTCTCCGTTGAGCAGCCTGCGTGGCAGCAGAGGCACTAACCACAGAGAAACAGCGCGCGCGTGAGAGAGCGAGAGAGAGAGGGAGACTCGGGGGAGGGAGTCTGTCTGTCGGTGAGGAGTTGCACAACACCGCGGACCAATGTAACTAGTAGAAACTGTTTCAAGTGAGTAGGACATTACTGACTCCTCTTCAGGTAAGACTCATTTCCTTCCGGGACACTTCTGTAAACCGCTAGCTGGCTTAAGTCATGCACGAGCGAACTGTTGACGTTGACTCGTGTAATATTGTCGCATGAGACGCCTTTACGAACCAGGGGCCAACGTTACAGTCTGTTTACTCTGTTTGGAAAGTGGCAGAAAAGCTCGTGGGCGCATATCTAGCTAGCAACCAAGTTAGCCCGCGGCTCTTTACGACCATATGGAAATGATATTTACCCGTTACCCTGGACGGAAACGAGGCTGCAGCCAGCTATCTGCTTTAAACTAATAACTGAATTATATGCAGCACCAGTGCAATCTCAGGGCAGGACAGATAACCAATAGCTTGGACTATTGAGAATGAATTTCATATTCAATTTCGCCTGGTCACATTTTGCCTTGGCACATGATCACTGACAATTAAGTCAGTTTAAAGCTTGACTCCCTGTCAGCCTAACTTACTTAAATTCAGTTATGCAATTCATTGCTAACTTCTGGAGGTTAATTTTCGGAAAATGGCATTTAGGAAAATTATAGCCGAGTCTTCAATAAAACTCATTTGAAACTTCATACATACAATTACATTACAATGCAACAATGTCACCTTTTCCTTTCCTTTCATGTTAGTTAAAAAGCTATTGAGTATGGCTTCTGGTATAAAATGTGATACTATACAGTGACTACGTTTAGGGACCAAGTGTGCTGGCTTATTGCAACACAGACTCTTATTTCTCCAAGCGAGGAGAACAGCCTGTTAACATGATACATTTTACATGCAGTGTGAAAGCAGAGCCTCATATCTGTGTTTATGTTGTGTGTGGTTTGTGGATGTCTGTGGGTATAAAGGAACATTACGTGGAATACTGTAGTAACAGCAGGGGTGAACACTGGCTGCAGGCTGGAAAGGGGGCCGGGTGTGGGGTGTGGGGTGGGTGGCGGTGTAGTTATGAGGATGCCTGTAATGGGCTAAAATGACTCGTGTGTCAGCTGTGACAGTGGAGCCGGTGTCCCGGGTGACTGAGCTGGTTTGTATCAACCAAGCGGGAAGCCATGTCTTCACACATCCTCGCTGACATGCAGCTCGACCGTTATTCTCCGTCCTTATGGCTATTTGAGGTTTGGAAGAAATATCTCTAAAGTTTGAAAAAGACGAATGCAGTTAGATTTGGTAGTATGGATGAATATTGGATTACGGTTTTTATTAATTGCAATATTTCTGATCGAGGTATTTGGTCAAAAAATTGTGATATAGGATTTTCTCTACTTTGCCCAGCCCTTTCCCCCAAATTATCATTTGCTAGGCAATTACTTGTCCCGTGTTACCTCGTGTTCGTAAAGAAAACGTTGTTCTTCTCAAACACTTCCATAGTGAACAAATAAACCAAATGTTGAGAAAGGTATTGATGAATTAAAGTAAATGGGGGCCACGTTTAACAACTGTGAAAATAAATCAAAATATCAGTTGACAAACGCTCACACAATTTATGCAGTATATTTCAAGTCTCTTTTATCCGGTCGTATGCTCACTTCTTACCAAACACATGCATCTTAAGCTAAAAAAGTCTCACGCTTGCGTAGGCGCGCCAGTTGTTCTTGCGAGAATACTGTTAATGCGTAGTCTGCAAGGTTACGTGTTTTGTGCCAAAAACAAGGCAAAACTCTCTAGATACAGCAATGCTTTCATAGATAACATAAAAAATACTTGAAGTCAATATATTGTGTCAGATGATCAAAAGTTCTGATAATATCCTGAGCTGGAAGGAGGATAATGTACTATAAATTAATCAACATTCCACAATAAATGGCGCTAAATTTCATTCATGAAGTAAAGGGAGGGTGCTGTTGAAAAATAAAACTGATCTGAAAGCATCAGAAAGGAAGTGGAAAGACTGAGAGATGACTAACATTAGAGTATTTTGGTGCTGAGAACAAGGAACTTAGTTGTGTTTAAATATACTGAACTTGAAGAGGTGGCTCTTCAGTAGAATCCAAAAAGACAACTTTGTAAAGCAAAGAAACTGTTGGTCGGATGGTGTACAAGGGACTGTTGATCAGTGATTTATGTTCAACAAATTTATTTTTATTTTTGTTTTAACTTTTTGCATGCAGCTTGTGCCCTTTATTTGACCTCTGCCTCTAAGAAGATTCTTATTCCTATTTTGATGCAAAGATTCTGTTAATTACTCACTTGAGTCAGGATACCGGGCCGATACTGATCGTGTATCAATGACAATAGGGCTGATCAAGTCAATTCAACGTCCTTGCACAACTCTACTCTGTAAATACACACTTGGCACTTTAATACCATACATGTCTCAACGTACTCTTTGTTTGTTTGTTTATGTATTTTACTATTGCAGTGTGTTTATTGTCACGCACCAATCACCAAGCCCAAATCCTTGTATGCGTAACATACTTGGCCATACACCGTTTCTGGTTCTCATTTTGATTCTGATCTGACATAATACATACGTTATGTACTTGAGTTTCATTTCTTGTTTAAGTTTTAACGAATTGCTCTCCTGGTTTCCTACCAGGGTCACAATTGTCTCATATTTTCTTGTATTTCTAATAATAATAATCC